ACTTGGAAAAGCTAGCTATAGGTGATGTAGCTCGTCCGTGGTTAGCTGAGATTCTGGAAATACCAGGGTCAACACCTCCGTGGCTCACAACAGGGGTTCCAATTGTCCGGGCCACCCTATACTTTGAAGCAAAAGGGTGGAAAACATTCATGTGTAGCCGCATTGACCCATGCCTCAATGAAAACAAGCTCCCACTTCCCCGTTCAGTCTTGGTGGCTTCAATTATGGATGGGTATCCGATAAATGTTGGTGCCATTATGTCCACCAACATCACTTTAGCTGTCTAGAAGGGTGAAAGATCCTATCCGTACCCAAACTTCCTCATAGAATACTTCAAGGATCAAGGGGTGGAGCCGAAGCATTATGATACAGAAGTGAAGTCCAAGAAGCCTTTCTCATGGTACCATCTTTAGGGAGCTGATAACCCGAAATTCAAGGGTAAAGCTACTACCTCCACTGGCCAGTCTGAGGAGCCAGTAGTAGTGGTTACTAATTCAGCTATCGAGCCTTCCACAGCAATCGGTACTTCCACTAGGACAATAGCCATGCCACCTTAATCTTTCGGACCACCTGCTTCTGCTAGATTATCAGTGCCATTACTAGTGCCGACTTCATCTACTTATCCTCAGACTGCACGGCGAGTCTCTCAGACATTGGCGAGTCTCAACAACTGGATGCAGGCAGCTACTACAAAACTAATTGATATATCTAGTGTTGTTGCAGCACAGTCCTCAGCCCGAGAAGAGCCATAGGTACCTCTGTCAGTAGAGGAAATATTGAAGAAGATTCTGGAAAACTAGAAGACCATTACAGCTACTCTATTGGGGCATGGGAAGGTCATTACGGACTTGAGCAAGCAGGTCAAAAAGATGAAGAAGTCTCAAGCATCAAAGAGGTCAGTGGACAAGTTGAGAAAGGAGGTTGAGAAGATTACATCTGTCAATGATTTACCATTGGACCTACTCACAGAGGGTGGCCCAGCAGCACAGACAACACCAGCAGTAGTACCTAAGGCACCAGAGGCAGTAGCCAGCCAATCTGAGGAGACAGCTGTGACTACCCACACCGCTGAGGAGATGATCCATATGCTCAGCAACCTTGTTGTCCCTCAGTCAGGTGATGATGAGATACAGCTTGAGACAAAGGGTGTTGATGATCCTATGCAGATTGAGACCACATAGGGAGTTCTCTTAACTCTCTACCCTTTCCCTGTTCTTGTTTTTGTTAAGCATTTAGGACAATGCTTTTTTCATTTGGGGTTGGTTTATTTTGATTATTTGACTTTGACATCTGATATTTGGGTTGTAATAACTCTGATACTATTTTTCTTTCATATTTATTTTCCTTTGGTATGTATATATTCTCCCCATTTGATGTAGATATTCATTTCCCTTATGTATATATTCATTTGACTTTGGTTTGTATATTTATTTATCTCGCTTTCCGTAGTTTATTTCATAGCTTTTTAGTTTGTTTTTCCTTAGTAGTATAACTTCTTATTTACTTTAGTAGCTTCTTTTTAATTTGCTAGATTCTTTTTACGTTTTGAGTGAACAATAAGCCTTTGATTTTCTTAATGCCACAGTTCTTTCCAAAGGTGGATTATGTGTGAACCGGGTGGATCTTCCCAATGATGGATAACGTGACAACCTTCTTAAGGGATTGAGTCTATTTTCTTTTATGTTTAGGCAAATATAGTAGTAATGAATAAAAGGGTCTCAAGCATGTTTCACTTGGTACCAACATATTTACCTATGATTGTATGGTTAAAAACAAGTTGTTGGCAGAAAATAGTTCTAGTTGTGACCTTTTGAGTCTTGCGTTGACTTAAACAGTCATCGAGTGGTTCAGTCGAGCCATTTGTGATTCTCAATCTTAGTTAGGGTTGTCGTGGTCCCTCGACTCTGTTCTCTTTAGCAATCCAGAAGCGTGAGAGATAAGATGTTTAGTTACAAGTCCAAGTACCCGTGCTAATGGTCTAGAACTTGCCCCGAATGTTTGTCTAAGCGAAATTCTAAGTGTTGCTTGGCTTGATAAATGATTATAGGCTCTCCTTTATACAATTTTAAATTTGAAATCTTCCATATCCTACCAATATAATATCCTAAGTCAACCCCTTTCGAGCCTAAGCCCTTTTTTCTTTTAATAATCACGTTACAAGCCTTTATCTGTTTTGTATTGACCCTCTCTTGGCACCCAATCTTTCCTTGGCATTCTTGAGAAACAATTGACAAAAATATAATTTTGGGGGAGAGACGAGGAGTTTGAAGTGATAAAAGGTACAAAGAAGAGAAAGAAATGAAGAAAAGGGAAAGCAAAGAAAAGAAAGAAAGAACAAAAAAGAAAAATTTCAAAAAGAAAGTGAATAAGGTAGAAAGTTGAAGGGACTTAAAGAAAGCAATGATGAAAGGCATGGAGTAAATAGAAAAGGAGAAAAATGAATGTCACGGTCAAAAAAGAGTGACGTTACGTCTCTCTAGCTCCCACGAGGAAGAAGAAAATGACTCAAAGAGTCAAGAAGTATGAGCCAAAATGAGAAAATGGAGTGCTTAAGAAAATATGAAACCATTAGATTCCAACAAGTCTTACCTTGGTCCAAAAGCCTTCATTACATCCTGCAAAAGCCCTACATAATTTCAAGTTGAGTGAGCTTATATTAGTGGTGATTTACAATAGGGGCAAGCTTATGGTACTTAAAGCTAGACTTGTGAAGTTCTTTTGAGAGAGATGAGCGAACTTTTCACAATTCTTGCTTCGAGTGTTGCATTCTAAAGCGAGATTTGCTAATGGAGAGTATAGGAGGAGGAGTTTGGGATCCACAATGACCTACGTGAAAGAGCGAGCTTCCTTGATGAATAGAGTCAACTCTTGATGCTCTAGTGTCACAGTAGAAGTATGATACTCAAAAGGTCATATCATTGTGTTGTTGATAATTCATATGTATTGTGGGTAATTATTGGTCCTAATTGATGTGTGATTGATTCACATTAGGCCAGCTGAAATATCCCTTTTCTAGTAGAGGTGGAAATTGCCCTAATTGTTTGAGGACAAGCAAAAGCTTAAGTTTGAGAGAGTTGATAAGTAGGGATTTTGACTGCTTATTTGTTCTCTTTTACTTGTATTTTAGCTTTAAAATGCTTAAAGGTATTCCCGAAAACTAATGAATTATGCTTGCTTACATGAATATTGGGAAATGAGCCAAAGAAGTCAAAAGTGAACAAGAACCAAAACAGGGCAAAAGGGCCAGCAGTGCGGACCGCACAATTCTAGTACGACCGCAGAGGGGAGATTCAGAGAGTAGTGTTTTGGGCCAGCTAAAAGCATGTGAACCGCACCGATATTGTGCGGCTGTAGGAGGTCAAGTGCGGCCGCATTCATTATAATACGGACCGCAGGATTGAAGAATCAAGGATCTGGAAAGTAAAAGAGTGTGGACCTCATCACTTTTGTGCGGCCGCATAATCAGAAGTGCGGCCGCACCCATTTTTTTGCGGACCGCAGAAGACCCCAAGTTCCCAAGAATGCGGACCGCACGATAATTGTGCGGCCGCAGTAGCTCATTGTGCAGATCGCACCAGAATTATGCGGTCGCACAACCTTCGTATTGTGCTGATCGCACGATAACTTTTGTCAGATATTTTCAGCTTAGTATAAATAGAATTTTTTTATCATTTTTAGGTTAAGTTTAGTTTGCAGAAGTGCACCTGAGTCATTTTCTTTACTTCTTTGAGTAAATTTTTACTAGATTAACTTCTAAACATTAGATTTTCTTTGTCTAATCAATTATTATGCATTTTATCTTAATTTCTTCTTGTATTTCTTTATTTTTATGAGTAGCTAAATCTTTAGCTAGGGTTGTGGCCCAACCCTAATGTGGGTACTTAATGGGTATTTAATTTAGGGCTTATTTGTGATTTGGTTAGTGATATTTAGCCTTGTTCATGCTTGAATTCTAGAATTAATGATTGCAAATATTGATTCATGCCTATTTGACTTAGTCTCTACTTGATAAAGAGAGACTAAGTCTAGGAAAACTTGGCTAACAAGGAATTAGGGTGAACTCAAGAAATTTATAGCCTCAATTAAAGGTTCAAACCTAGAGATAGTAAGATCTGACTTGAGCATATATCACTTGATTTGTGCAATACCCATTTGGACTTGAGAAAGCCAAATTGGGCAAAACCACTCAAACTACTGAGAGGTATAGAGTGGGTAATTGTGTGTGATTGCTATATTACAACCCCTACTAATTAAACTTGCCCTAGAGTTTACTACCCATTAGGTAACCACCTAGGTGGAAGTCACGACCCTAGATCCTTTATCATTTGAAAAACAACCGAAATCAAAAACATTGTCTTCTAGTTTATTATTTGCAATCAATAGTATAAAGTAGAAATAGAAATATCAAACAAGAATGTGGAAGTGCAAATTCAGGCACATTATCCAATTACACCAGGTATACACCTAATCCCATTTCTAACTCCCTGAGGAATCGACCCCAACTCGCTTTGGGTTTTATTATTGTTTCAACCGCCTCACTACCTAATTGCGGTGTGAGTTTGGGCGACATCAGTGGGTACTCACTTTCTTTTACTAAAGGTGCTACAATCACATAACATAAGAGCAAATTATTCGAATGGACGATGAAAAAACTAATGAGAAAAATACGATTACTATTGTCATTACCAAAAATGACTTCCAGCCACGAGTCACGATAATAATGTTATCATTACAAAAGAGGGACATCTAGTCATAACTCATAACTGTGCTCGATGACTTTTTATATGTTGAAAACGAAGAATAATATCATCATTGTTGACACTTGCAAATATCTTATGCTCTACATAGAAAACTAAAAAACTATTTAAAAGTTCATCGCCGATGTCGTTACGAAGTTCACTTTTGATGTAGTTCATGGATGTGAAAGCTCGTTCCACAGAAGCTGTAGCAACAAGAAGAACGAGAGTCAACTTGATAAGTAAATAAACATGTGGCCAAGTTTAAAGCAGATCGGATTTAACCAACACTTTAGCAAGATCACTAATTCTCTTCATGCCAAAGAACCTCTTGTCAACACTACGGGCATAAACTATAAAACTATCGAGCTGACAACTGAGATCTCGAAGCTTGCTGCTATCAAACTCATTCAGATAATATTCAGCCAACCTCATTATCATGTTCTTATCAAAATTACCAAATGAATTAGCTGGATTTAAGCTATCCATACCAAGGAGTAAGTCAATACTCACAGCATCAAAGCAACGGTTAAGCTCTTGAAAATGTAAATCTATAACAGCATAAAAAATGTCAACATGCAAATAATGAGAATATGTAACATCAAGAGCTCTACGCTTTGACTTACCAAGAAAGTAGCGAGAGTCCACCTTTGGAATCATTATATCATGTTTATCACATAAAGAAGAGACATGTTCCACTAAAGATCCAAATTCACTATTCCTCATCATTTGTAATCGTTGCTTTGTAAGAGCAAGGAGTCACATAGCATTGACAATATCTTGATCCATCCTTTATAATGCACAGTTCAACTCATTTGTCATTGTTAAAACTTTTAACATCAAGTGCAACATAAAAGAAAAATCAAATTCCTTAATCTTACCCATAAGACATTTAGCAATAATTTTGCCGGCATAGTTTGGACACTCACGTGCAGTAAATTTAAGCACATGAATAATCGAGAGAAATAGGATAATAAGGTTATCCAACGTTTTATAATGAGAACCCCAATGAGTATCATATGGTCATTGAAGCCCACATTCTTGATTTAACCCTCGTCTAGTATACACTTCACCTGATTTGAGCAACTCCTCTAACTTTTCAGCTTGATGTTCTCGAAGCAAATCCCTGCGCTTAAAAGATGATCCAACAATATTTAAGGCATTAATAACTACACAAAAAAGTTATCTACATCTGAATGCTTCTTTGAAAGATCCACAAGTGTTAATTGCAATTGGTGAGCAAAACAGTTAATGCAATATGCTAATGGAGACTCATTTAAAATCAAAGTCTTAACACCATTTAGCTCTCCCTGCATGTTACTAGCCCCATCATAACCTTGCCCACGTATTTGCGTTGGACTTAATGAGTGATCAAAGAGAAAAGAGCATATTGCCTTTTTCAATAACATAGTTGATGTATTACTAACATGAGCAATACCAACAATTCTCTCTATGACTTTGCCTTCTTTGTTAACATATCTCAAAACAAGTGTCATTTGCTCTTTGTGTGATATGTCTTTTGATTCATCAACTAGTATCCCGAAAAAATCCTCATCCAAGTCTTCAATGATAGCTGTGATTGTTTCCTTAGCACAAGCATCAACAATATCTTTTTGAATACTTGGAGAACTCATCATTTTATTTCTTGGAGCATTTTCTAATATAATGCTTCCAATATCTCGATCAATATCTACATACCATTGCAAAAGCTCAAGAAAGATACCTCTATTTGTAGAAGATTGACTCTCATCATGCCTAGGAAATGGAAACCTAGTCTCAAAAGAAATCTTGCCACATCGATTGAAGCACTCAAACGACATCGAGACTCACTTTTTTCTTTCTCGGATTGTTTGTTAAAAGATGTGCGAATTGATTGTGATTGATTCATTAAATGAAGCATCCTGTTGAAACATTTGTTGTAGATGATATTTACTTCTCCAACATGAGCTTTAAATCTTTCAATAGCCTTGTTCCAAGCTTTAAAGCCATTTTTTATAAAAGCATCTCCCGTATTTCCATGACTTTCATGTTCATTTTGAACAAATAGCAGCACAAATAATATGCAACATCTTTTTATATTTTGTATTCCAATCACTTAGAATGTTGACCCTTAAACCAACCAGGACAAAATTGATGCATTATCTTCTCAAACTTAGTTTTGGGAAAATCATTATTCACAGGATGCAAGGCTTTTTTTTGAATATAATGTCTTCTAACTTCATCACGTATATTAGAGATGTAGTCTGTAATAGGCTTTCTCTCTCCCGGATCAGCGTTGAGAGATTCTAAATCAAGATCAGAAAGAAATGTGTCCCTCTGAATTTCTGGAGCTATGGATGAAGCAATAGATGGATTAGTAGAACTAGAACTTGGTTGCCCAACATTTGTTCTTGTGACAAACCTATCCATCTCGATTCACAAAGATTGATGAAATATTCCTACAGAATAAGATTCAATTTTATTCAGTTTTACCTAAAATTCAATTCAAATAATTCAACTAAGTCCTATTAGGGAACTCATGCCCCTCTATAACAATACAAATAACAAAGCAATAACAACATATTTAACCATATTGCACTGGAAAATTGATCACACTTCTTTATAACTAAAAATATCAGAAATATTTATTCTTTCGGAAGATAAGATGAAAACTTACAAAATTTTGAAGCAATGAGCCAATGAGGATAAATTCATCAATCATACAAACTGATACTAATAACCGACATTTATCCCAAAAAACAGTTTTGAAATTAAGTCAGAATAGAGCTAAATTAATTTTTCACTTTTTGACAAGTTCACATAACTATTGTTTATTTGCCACAAAATAATTACAATCAGTGGGTGTATTCATAAAATAAAATAAATTACTGAATCTATTTTACAAATCATAGGTAATAAGAATTGTAATTTGTAAAACCCAATATCTTCGATAAAATATCGCCATTTATACTCAAAATCTCTAGCTAACTACCTTAAATTAAAATACCAAATCTTATTACCTTGTTCCCTGTGTTTTAATTTTGAGATGGAGAGGTCAAGAAAACTTATTATTCATTATGTAGCCTGCGAAACCTACAAGGAGAACTGGAGAAGCCGAGAAGGATTCTGTTTTAGTATTTTCGTTTGGTGTCTTTTGAAAGCCTACCAAGGATTCTTTTTCTCCTTTTTCTCTTCTAATTAGTAAATAAGAGAAAATAGAAAAAGGGGAGAAAAGTAAAAGAAGATAATAATAAATCAGCATTAAAAACGATTAGAAAACAAGAAAGTTAACGATTTATTAAATAAGGAAAAGTGTTATTTTTTTGGAAAACAAAAAAAGTTGCCAGCAAGATTCGATCTTGCAACATTAGGTGTCCAGGTGCACAAATTTCAGCCATCAAACCAAAGCACCCATTGGACTTTCTGGTTAATGGGTGCTTGTTAATATTGCGAGCACGTGATTTTTGCCCTATATGAATTACTCCCATAATTTCAAAATAAAATAATTTCTTTTCATTATTTGCAATTTTATGAATTTTCGTGGCATTTTATGTTAAATGTTTGCATTTGTTTGTGAATATTTATTTTATTTAACTAATGAAAAATACAAAAATACGTACATTTGCAATTAGGATTTAATTTGACATTTTAGGATTAATTAATTAATTAAGTTGTTTTATAAAAAGGAAAATTATAAAAATTGTTTATTTTTGCGCGTTCGAATTTCGCCGCTTGCTTTAATTTGGGAATTAAATAGTTGTGATAATTATTATTTAGAGTTAGTTAATTTAATTTGATAAGGATTATTTGATTAGGGATTAATTTAGGTTTTATTTATAAATTTTTAATTTAAAAGAATTTTGGAAAAATTGAATTGAAAAGGAAAAGGGAATAAACTAAGAAGAGAGTCATATTTGGGCCAAGTCCTTAATTGTTTTTAACCCAAGCCCAAACGTTTCCTCCCATACCTGTCCAAATTGGCCCAGACCCGCCCAATACCTAATCCGTCTCCTAGTGAACCAAAATGACACCGTTTGGTTGTCCTCTGATCTGGACCGTCGAGGTTCTTCTAAATCTAACGGTTGGGGAGTGGGGTGGACTTAATACATATATGTCCGAACCCTCACCCACCCCCTCATCTCTCGTCNCACTGGTTCGTATCGAATCTTAAATCGAAAACTAGACCAAAAACCTAACTTTTCCCAAATCACCCCAAATTAACACCCCAAAATCCCCGTAGTCCTCTCTTTCCCAATCTCAAACTCTGGACTCTCGAATCACCATCAAGCTCGTCGAATGTTGAATCTAAAGCTCGAGCTTTTGAAGCCAAATCCAAACTCGTACATGCAGATTTGTTCCTTGATAAAGAACAAGTACTTGACGTCATTTAGGAGTGCCAAGCCCCAGGTTCGAGTTTTAGTCACTGAGTCCTTCCTTCGTTTCTTGGTTCATTACTCCTCCTCTTTCTGGTCGATTCAATTAAAACTCGGTTAATTGTGTTGTCTGAGAGGTGGTCATGTTCTTGTGCTCTTCGTTAAGTTTTATTTTCCCAAATTGGTTTCTTTAACTATTTTTATCCATTAAGCATGACTTTGTTAGTACCTCGGTTTAATTATTCCAAACCCGCTTAGGGTTGATTTTGCTGTGTCAACTTTGTTATTATTGATCTTGTCTCCTTTTAATTCATAATTGTCAAGGTAATAGTCAGTACAGAGTCAAAATATTTATTCGTGTTGCTGTCACTTAGTTTTGTTGGGGTTTTTGGGTCAGAGTCTGATTTTCTGAATGATCATTTGGATTGATTTGGAACCAGCCTTGGGCTTTTTGAGTCATTTATGACCCAATTCAAGATGCCCGGTTGTTTTGAGCCCAAGTTTGTTTGGTTAGCAAGGTAAATTACAGGAGCATGGGGGATAGTTTGGGTATTTGGTTGAGGGAATATTTCTGATAACAGAAATAGGAAGCTTCTAGCAAGGGTTTTAATTTGAATTTCAGATTGTTAGTAAGTTAGCTTGGTTAACAAGTCAAAATTTTAGGGATCCCTAAGCTAAAAGCAAATTTGAAAAGGGCTTAAAGGGTAGAACTAAAATCTAAAAGGTTGCCCTATTTGCTTGCATATAAAGGCACCTTTTCTTGCTTGAGAAGGCAGAAATGGAGAGATAAAAAAATTCTGCAAAACTGAAACGACTGAAAATTATGGAAGCATGCTGATTTCTCTTGATTGTTTGTGGAAAATTGTTCAAAATTCTGATTTTGAAATTTTTGATCCTCTTCATTAGTTAGAATCTCTTGAAAACCTCTAATTCTGCACCTAGGTTAAAGATGGTTTGATTTTGGGATTTTGAAAGTTGGGTTTGAGTTTATTTTGTGCGGAATATTGTCTAGTTGCTGTTTCAGTTCGAATTCCTGGATTTTGGCTGATTTCAACACTGTTTCATTGATGTCCTGCTGCTTATTGCCTACTGATTTCTGCACTTCTCTTGTTTCCCCTTTTATTTCCAGGTATTTTCGGCACTATGGATATCATATGAGTGCAATTTAAAGTTTGGATCTAGAATATGATGAAATCTGATGTTATTTGTTATTGAGCTTCATTTCTCCTTCTTTCAACTTCATGCATAGCGTGTAATACTTAGCTTTAGAAAGATTCCAATTAGTATATTTATTAATGAATAAAATGAAATCAAAATCTAGAACATGTTTGTTTATTAAGTATTGTCCTCTTACGTTTTTATCAAACTCTGTAGTCAGTTTGGATTTCTTTGTCCTGTTTGCTCATTTCTGTCTTTACCTGTTGAATCTGGTTTGTACTAGTGGATAAATTATGAGTTTAGCTCCTTTGGTCGAAATATATTCAGTCAAGTTGTATGTGTTACATCTGTGCTAGTTCGGCTAAAGTCAGTGGTTTGTTTGGTGTCGATTTCTTGATTTTGAGCTTTACCATTAAAGGTTGAAATATAACCTCTCTTTTGGAGTATAGATTAGTAAATGATCTCCTTTTCCCTGTCATTTTAAGTATATGCATGTTGTTGGTTAGACGTGATAATGGTAATGAATGTTAGACGACAAAAGGGATCATTGTATGATTAGATATCAATTGACGTTAAATATTCTTTGGTATTTGTGTAAAAGACGATCAGTATTTGTTTTAATTTTCATGCAATAATATATTTTGCAACTATGAATTTGAATGCTTTGATGTTTTATGCCATGTGAGGACTCGATCTTGAGTCTCAAGTTTGCTGAAGCTGGTCCATTCTCAAATTTGGGCTCTCTTTTTGGGCCCAGCGTAGACTGTTGTGAGATTGGCGTTTTTAGGCAGTCTTGCACTTTGTAGGCTATAGGGCCTCACGCTAGGCCCAGGTTTTTAAGTACACCGTATCTCATTTTATTGCGAGTCCACCGTTTAATGAATTAAGTTTAAACTCTTAAGCACAAGGGTAATTTGAAGTCCTTTAGGTTTTTCCTCAATTAACTATTCCCTTTAAAATTGGGAATGAGGTGTGTCGTGCCAGATAAAATCTTAAAATGCACGGCCCTCACTTAATTAATTTTGTTTATCCTTAGCACTCGAGGCGTGCCATTTAGCGAATTTTCATGGCCCTTGCAAAGTTGCAAATTCGTAGTTGCTTTAGGTGCGTTATTTTAACAATTTACCTTCCTAAACTCATGTGCGCTTTTATGTGACCCAAATCCAAATCACAACAATGTTAAAATATGTCAAAGACCACGGGTGCATTTATGTGACGCGGTTTGAGACGTGTTTTAATGACGTTGCAATTTTGTCTAAAAAATGAATAAAAGCGGTTAAAAGTTAAAATTTGTGTAGGTTCGTAATTGTTTAAAATCAGATAATTAAGCCGAATATAACAGTTGAGCGATCGTTCTAGAACTACGGAACTCGGGAATGCCTAACACCTTCTCCCAGGTTAACAGAATTCCTTACCCAGATTTCTGGTTCGCGGACTGTTAAACAGAGTCAATCTTTTCCTCAATTCGGGATTCAACCGGTGGCTTGGGACACCATAAATCTCCCAAGTGGCGACTCTGAATCTTTAATAAATAATCACGATTCGATTGTCCTTTAATTGGAAAAACTCCCATTTACACCCCTTTCCGGGGGTGTAGGTAAAAAGGAGGTGTGACAGTTCTGGCGACTCTGTTGGGGATCGAACCCAGAATCTCTGGTTCAGGGTTCAGAATTCGAGCTTTGATGAATTGTTATATTTGGCTCTATCTATTATCTAATTTTGTTACATGTTTAGGCCTAATATGCTAAGTGATGCTTTTACCGCTTTGATATTATCTGAACTGTATATAAACTGCTGCAAAACCCTTCTCTTCTCATCTTCGGGGATGTGCTCGCTAGTAGAGACTCTCTATTCTGTTAGTGTCACACCTTGAAATAAGAAAGAGGCTCGGACAAGTAA